AGCCGCCACCCAGGGGCTGCGCTCGGGGACTGGAGCTGAAACCTCCATGCCTCTCTCTCACCGCAGAAACAGTCTTTCCACACTGACCTTCTAAGTTGTCTTTGCTGTTTGTGGGATGAGATTTCTGGAATCCACCACAGCTCCCCGTGATTCAGTCCTCTGAGGCCTGCTCCAGGCTCACTGCGGCCTGCATGCCCACGCAGGCCTGCGCTCCTCTACCTTTCTGATCAGCCATCCAGGTTGTCTTGGGCTGGAAGTTTGTTTCACTTTGTCTTTTTGTTGGTTCTGCTGCTTTAGAATTTGTTTAGAGCCATTTTTTACAGGTATTTGGAAGGGTTTGGGGGAGAGTTCAAGCAAGTCACTACTTTCACTCTGTCATCTTGGCTCCGCCCCCACATTTAGACCTTTTAATGCTCCTTTAATATATTTAGGCACTTCTTTGGCTATCCATACAGCAGCATGGAATACTACCTTTGGGGGGGGGGGCGTGCTAGGCAATGGGGTTAAGTAACTTGCCCAGGGTCACACAGCTAGTAAGAGTTATGCGTCTGAGGCCGAATTTGAACTCAGGTCCTCCTGAATCCAGGGCCGGTGCTCTATCCACTGCGCCCCCTAGCTGCCCCTGGAATACTACTTATATAGAACTAGCTGCCAACAAAAACTCACTAGTCAACATAAAATTAAGTATTATCTAGATTAGTATTAAATAGATTAGGGGAGGAGGTTTCTTTCTCACTGTCATACTTTTCTCCCCATCACAAAATTAGCTTGTGAGTCTCCTGGATCACCTGGACACAATTCAAAGGGATACTGGAGTGTGTAGGCAAGGAAGAACAACTCAGCATCTGCTCTGGTTGTAGCAGGTCATAGAGATACTTCTAGATGTCTTCACCTACTTACTCTTTCTCTCCATTCCTGCTGCCAATATCTTAGATCAGACCATACCTAACACCTAAACTACTGTGATGGCCAACTAACTGGCCATACTACCTCTACTCTGGCTCTCCCACAATTCTAATCTCGAGCAGACATGGCTTCCAGATTAATCTTCCTCAAACACAACTTTTACCATGCTACTTAACTCATCTGACTAAAAAACTATTAATTTCTTCAGTGTCTTCAACAGGAATCTACTTTTTATCCTGATACGGACCTTCTGTTTTATTTCTAAGACTCTAGTCTTAACAGTGAAAGGTGATGCTAAAGGCAGGGGCTAACAAACAGATATAAATTAACATCCCTTCTCTGTGGAGAAGATGCCTAAGCTTCAGAGAAGGGGTGTGTGTGGCAACAGCAACTAACTTCGAGCTAGATCTAATAACAGTGGAGAGCTACCCACAAATCTCAATCACCATATTAGTTTGGTCTTAGTAATTACAAGTATGCTCTAGAAAAACTAATGATGTCAGAGAAGAACAAATCAAGGAAAAAGGCTGAACTTCTAAAGGCCCAGAGAAAGGCAGAACTGCTCTAAGAACAGGGCCTTGAGAGGGACAGGAGTACTACAAAGCAATCTATATGCCAAAGGGATAGGGAGTCCATACCGAAAGAAAAGAATAGAAGGTAGGTTCCCAAGGGGATTTAGAATCTTCAACAAATTCTAAAAATACTGATTCAACTCTGGGCTAGTAATGTCGTTTAGGAGTCAACCCAGACAAAGCTGTAGTGGAAGACTGGAAATGGGCATTGGGTGACTCCATGTCAACCAATTCAATCCATAGCTGGATTTTATTTTCTTATGATAAAAACTGTTTTCAGTAAAGTTATTTCTTCCTTCTATTTTGCTTCCCTCATAAGAGGACTGACTTAAGATAAGAGGCAAGGCTAAGAAATAGTCAGTGAAGGAATCTACAGAAAGGCTTGGCTCCACTTAGATTTCCATGAAGACAAAGGATGAGTCCCAACCGCTTCTGGGATTCTATTTACTTCCCCCTTGGGATTTTTGACTCCAAAAAATTTCGCTGTAGCCACTCTCAGTGAAAAATCTTTTTAAAGAGACAGTGAATTGAAATCAATTTAAATTTTTGGAGAATTTTCATGGCACTTGCAGCCAGTCGGGAATTTTGGGAACTAGAGTCAGAAATCATTTATGCTATTCCTACTGGCAAAGAACATCTAATGACAGTTCTTACCAGTAGTCAGTTCAACTTGCCTCTTTTCTTTATTCTTTAAACAATAATACAAGAAAATACTACACCAAAAGTTATCTTTGGTTGTGACTCACATGACCAATAACCACACCCATAAATATTTACAACTTTCATCTAGATCCCTGTGTCAATACATGAAGGCAACCACTTTGAGGTATTTGGATCTGCAATCAATCATCCTCAGGTATAAAATTACATGTACATTATACATGTAAAATGAGTTGCACCCTTGAGTAGAGCCCAAAAGCCCTCTCATCAGTCTATTAACACAGAAGCTCCCTGTGAAAATTGATGTGGCCAATATGTCATTGTGATATAAAAGCCTGTTTTCTCAGGTGTAAGTAACTCTAATATCTTGGACCTGTTTATCGATAATCTAGCCTTCACTGCTTATTCACTCCAATGCCAAATTCCTACCTTCATCATGAAACAGAAGCTAAATGACCTAGAGATAATTTGAACGAACCTCTTTCTCTAAGGATGCTTTCATTTTTATCTTCATTAACTTCTCTGCTCATTGGCAGGTGTGCTAAACACAGGAGTCCAGTCTACAGGTTCTTAAATATAAGACAATCTATATGTCTAACCAAGGAAGGCAGTGGTATTCATTCATGTGCAAAAACATCTTATATGGAAAAAATTCCTTTTCCTATAAATTAAAAGTATTATTTTACCCCCTTATCCCCAAGAATACTCTGATATATAAAAAGCAACTTCTGGTACTCAGAAGAGCATTGCTAAGACTGTTTCCCAGTCAAGTATAATAAATTAACCTTTGTAAACTTTAAAATATTATATGTGATTTGATGTTATTGTCATTACCAGTTCAAATTTCCCACTGACCCCTACCCTTCATTTAAACAACAACCAAAAAGGCATTTAACAATCACCAAATTGATCTCTCCCTAAGATACAAACCACTACATAAGCCAAATAAGCATTCTTACTACTTGCTTTATCTATATACTCTGACTAGGTGAGTGGCTATTTGTAAGACTGAACAAAAGTGAAATACCAGACCCAGACAACCACTCACTCTAGGCTCTCAACAAATGGTAGCAATTAGACTGAAGAGGAAAGGACACTGCATTTTAACTCCCTGTCTCACTGATATCCCATCAAAACCAGCTGCTCTTACTTAATAAACTTTGTTTCCTTTGAAATGTAGAATCTTTTTAAAAAAACTGTCTTCACTTAATTGTTCTCCAAAAGAGTATTATTAAAAACAAACACTCGGAAATGCTTTTCATCCTTGAAGTGCTCCATAACTACCTAATTAATAATCTAATTTAGGATTTCTACTAGCATCTTCATTTCAAAGCATAATGACCTTTTGTGAATCTATACATATGATAAAGAGGTAACAACAAAATCCCACATTTTATGGACTGACAAGGAAAAGACATAAGAAAATGAGAACTACTGAGGTCAACATGACTGGTGCTGACCAACAAACCAAAAAAAAAGATGGATTTTGGGCAGCGAGGTGGTGCAGTGGATAGAGCACCAGCCCTGAAGTCAGGAGGACCTGAGTTCAAATCTGACCTCAGACCAACCACTTGACACTTACTAGCTGTATGACCCTGCCCATGTCACTTAACCCCAATTGTCTAAAAAGAAAAAGAAAAAAAATTTTAAATTTTAAAATTTAAAAAATTTTTTAAAAAAATGTATTCATCAGAAACACTAGAATCTCTGATCATAAGACTAGTGCACTCTCTCTACCTTTATTTTTATTTTCTATTTTTTTTTGGCCAAGCAATGGGATTAAGTGACTTGTCCAGGGTCACACGGCCAATAAGTGTCAAGTGTCCAAGGCTGGATTTGAACTCAGGTCCTCCTGACTCTAGGGCCAATGCTCTATCCATTGTGCCACCTAGCTGCCCCCTCTATCTTTATTTTATAAAGACATATTTTCAGTTACTACAGCACCTCTTCCTATTTAAAATTGTAATTCATAACAGTTTTCAATGGTCAAATATCATTTGCTTTTGATAGACTTAAAATCACAGAATTTGGGGAAACTAAAAATCAGCCTAATCTAACTCCTTCATTTTTATGAAGGAACAAAGTAAGGCCCAAAGAGCTGCCGTAAACTGCATGAGGTTTACAGTGGAGCTGGAATTAGGACACTGACCTTCTAAATTTCAGTATGATAATCTTTCTACTGCAATATGCAGCATCTTAGGATAAAACACTAGAGCGTCAACAAAATTGCTGCCCTTGAGGTTCATACCATGTGACCTCATTATAGGGAAGAAGATCTTATAAAGAGGTACTTACTTTCTTTGTGTAATTTAATAACCAAACTCCTTGGAGGAGGTCTATTTCTTTTTTTTTTAAATAAATTTTTATAGATAATTTGTTTTTTACCTTGCCTAAATTTCCTCCTCTATATTTCCTTATCCTTCCTCCCAGAAAGTCATCCATCCTATGAAACAAAGATTATTTTTTAAGGGGGAAAAAATCAGTAAAATCAATCAATACATTGAAAAAAAATCTGAAAACATGAAGTGTTTCATATCTGTGGACCTCCTCCTACTACAAAGGAGTAGGGGGAGGTGACTTATCATAGATAAGGTTCACTTCTAAAGTCTCTTTCAGCTCTAAAATTCTATGATTTTGTGAACATGATACAATAGAATGTCACAGAGCACATATTGTTGTTGATATTGGGGAACTGTATTTTCTTTCTTAGAGACAGACATATACCATTAAAAAGAGACACACTGTTGTCCATCCAATTAGAGCCTAATTTACATCAATAAGGGCCTAATATTCAGGACTAGAAAAGTAATCTCAGTCAACTTTTCTCTATAATTCCCTTCAACTTGATCAAATGAGTCTTACCAAAAGCATTGCAGATGTTCCATTGGGTCTCGACAAATGAATCGACATTTCAGGGAACATCCTATCAATACGGCTGATCACATCATCAACATACCTAAGTAGGAAAAAAAAAGTACAGATATAAATTATAGCAACATTCAAAGTAATGACAAGCAACAAACTGCTAAGGATTTCTTTATATCACTCAACTTTTTTTTGAGGGGACTAATCTCAAGTTGCTATAATAAAATACTATCTTATGCTTTGAAAATCTTTACTTACTGAAGATACCTGGTTCAGGTAAGTGCTTTTGGGTAGATAATTCACCAATAGCAAGAGAAAAATAAACCAGCACATTCTGTGTAATAATCTTAATAATGGGTGGCCACTCTCTTAATGAAGGCTCACAATGAAGAAGTTGATTTTGTAACAAGAAAAATGATTTCTCCAACTCAGATGCTTTCAGCATGAAATCCTGTGACGGTATATCCTCATCTTGAAATTCCCAACGGACGCATAGAGAATAAACTACCTCATGACTATGGGATAACAAAAGGCTGGATATGATACTGAACAAAATGGTTTATTAGAAATCAGAGACAAATGGAAAAGTGCTATATTCAGAGAAGCAACGTAACAATGCAAAATCAAACAGGAAAAAAACTTTAGCCAAAAGCCCTGTAATATTAATAAAAAATGCATACAAACTTGAATGTATTAAGAGAAAGTCTTTATCTTTCAGCACAAATTAGAACTTTACCATAGCATTATACCTAATTTTCAATTCAATTAAATAAGCAGTTATTAAAGACCTACTAGATTGCCAGGTACTGTTCTAGACACCAGGGATACAAAAACAAAAATGAAAATGAAAACTCAGCCTTAAGGACATTAATACTATAAGGAAACCACATGTACACACAGAAAAGTAGATACAAAATATACATAAAGTTATAAGAAAGTAATTTAGGCAAGGATGGAAGGAGCACTGACAACTGGAAGGCAATCAGGAAATTTCTCATAGAGGAGGTAGCATCTAAAGAGGTGTTCATGTGTAGATGAAATGTTGTCTAAGGGAATGAGCAAGCAGGCTAGTTTGGCTGACACATTGCATGTTATGTGTTAAGGAGAATACTATGAAATAAGTCTGAAAAGATAGGTTAAAATCAGAATGTAAAGAATTTTAAATGCCAAGGAGAGGAGTTTGCATCTCATCCTGGAGACAATACAAAGTCACCGAAGCTTTGCTACAAATGTGGAATCTGTGTGAATGACAGACAGGAAAAGGGAGAGACTAGGGTTTGCGAGTCCACTGACACAGTTTAGGTGAGTGATAGGTGATGAGGCCCATCTAGGGCACTGGCTGCATGAGGAGAAAAAAGGCAGGAAGATGTGGGAGAAGTTGTGGAAGTAGAACTGAGATTTGGCAAATGACTGCATGTAAGGGGAGAGGGATAAGAGAATCAAAGATGACTCCAAACCTGGGTGATTAGAAACAGGCAAATTCTGAAGACAGAGCTCGGTCTTTGCATTTTAAGAGAAGGGGGAAAATCTGGAGCAAAGAAAAAGGAAAACAAGTTCAAGAAGCTGATGAGTGTTTATTTGGAAGAAGAGAAGACTGGAGATTGAATCTCAGCTCTCTTTAGGTTGGATGCTACAAGAAAAAAAATGCTATTTATTGCCACAAAGACCCAAACAAAGGGAAATCAGCTAAAAGACAGAATATACCTAGATAGAAGGAGGAGTTTCTTCAGAGTGAAGCTGATTAAACATCAAATAAGACTATCAATAAAGGTTCTGAATTTCCATTCTGGTGCTCTTTAAAAACAGGATAGACAACCATCTGTCCTGAATGGTTAAAGAAACGAACTGCCCAAGGCAACATACAACCTCCTGAGGTTCTTTACAGCTTTTTTGACTTTATGCCACATAGTCTCAGCTTCAGCTCAAAAAGATACAAAAAATTTGGGGGAGGGCTCAGGAAACTAATGGAAAAAAATAAGTGAAAAAGGAACATGTTTCTTGGGATCACGGAAGATATATAACAAAGCCCCATTTAAAAAAAACCCAACAAGACAGCATGCCAACATTATGCATCAGTATCATTTGAATCATTTCTGAATGTCGTAATTTCTTTTTCTTCTATGATTGTATGTGTGATTTAGATTGGGCTCAGTAGAAAGGAAAAATCAGCTGTCACATGCATGTGAATGGAGTCATTGCTAACTATATGCTAATGAGGGGGGAGGGCAATGTCTTCTGAACTGAACCTCAATCAATAGATATCATAGCTTTGGAAGTCTAATGCAAAGAAGCATGTCAAGCTTCAATGCGATGGTAACATAATAGTTTGCCCTCCATTGCACCTTTTACCTTGAAGGTTCCAAAATGCTTTTCTTAATGAAGTAAGAAAACCGAGGCACAGGTTAACTAAAATGATTATCTCAGGTCAAAAAATAAGTAAAAGAAAAGAAAGTCAGACACCAAACTGGAGGATTCCAGGACTCTAAGCACTTGCTTGTGCTTTCAAAAAGATCCAGTTTTGAAATCAGGCAGTACCATACAGTGTCTGAAGAAAAACAGTCAAATATTGTACAATCTTAAGATCTGTACTTTATCTTGGGGGATAGTGGACAGGTGAACGAGGAAATATGTCCCCAGGAGGCAGAAGGGAAAAGGCAGAACAGTATATAAAAGATGCAGTAGAGAGGAAGAGTGCAGGAGGTAGGAAGGAGAATCTAGGCTATCAGAAAAGCCCAGAACAGGTTATTAAAATGTTATCGAGCAAAAGCATTTCTAAAAAAAGGGAATGCTTTTCATTCACGTGCCTGATATGAGGAAGATGTCATCTGTAAAAGGCAATTTGTGTTATGTATTCATGTATTTGCCAAGTAGAGAAAGGAAGAAACCCAGGAGCATCTTTACTAAGGAAAACAATGTCTTTATTCTCAGGACAAAACCAAAACATTTCCCTTTTAAAAATGCATCAAAACCTCTTGAATTTAGTATCACAGACTGCCAGAAGTGACAGAGAAAAGGAAAGCTCAGAACTTCGAATTCAAAATCCAATGGGAACTGCCACTTTTCTTTTGCATTCTTTGTCATACCACCTCTCTGGTGATATTTCTTAGAATGATGCTCTCCAGAGCAGTACAGGCTGCTAGAAATACCTGAATGGTGTCTGAAAACACTTTTGCTATGAGTAAGCACTCATTTAGCAAAATCTGGACAGGCTTTATTTGCAGGCCTGGGAACAGGTAGGAACACAGTGCTCTACTCCTACACTTTTACCATATGTTGTACTCCAGGCTATAGCAGAATTGAATTACTTTAATTTTTACCTTTTGGATACAGTCAAACAAGCAGGAACACAGCAGTGGTAACTAGTTTACACTTGGGCAGACGCAGTGCTGAAAGACATTAATTTAGTGCCAAATTGAGCGGTGAGTCACAATTTGCACATATCTGTCAACCTGTTAACACGGTAATAACTTGGAAAGATTGCAGTTCCTATTTACATTGCAGAAGGCATCATGCTTTCTGTGATAATGCTGTTTTAAAATGGAGAGCTGTTTGGTTCTAATTTCAACCCAATGTAAACCTGAATTTTTATTTTCCAATAGAAAAAAAAATTAACTATTATGACAAGTAAGGTTTTCTCTTGCTGTCCTATTCATTGACTTTCCCTGATCACTAGTGTCTCACTTCAGATAGACTTGCCTTGGTTCACTCAAACTTATCCTCATTTTTTTGGGGGGGGGTGAGGCAATGGGGTGAAATGATTTACTCAGGGTCACACAGCTAGTAAGTACCAAGTATCTGAGGCCAAATTTGAACTCAGGTCTTCCTGAATCCAGGGCCAGTGCTCTATCCAGTATATCATCTAGCTGCCCCATATCCTCATTTTCAAATGGCTTTTACTTGATAGTATAGCTTCTCCGACCTCATTGCTCCATAGTAGGTTCCAGAACATGTCACCTACATTCATTGGGCCTAATTTTTAACTTGATCCCATCCAGAACATCCTCCATCTCTGGTACTGCATCGAATATACTCTCTCCAAGTCTCCACCAGAGAACCTGCCTCAAGGCCTAAATCTCAGCGCCTAGTCTCAATTCTAACATTCTCAACCTGACACATGAAAGATAACTGCTCTTCTCAGAATGCTTCCTGACCTTCATTCCTCTGACAACAAGACACTTGTCCCCTCCTGAGACTCCTCCTCTGTCACAGCTTGTTTCTCCACACAGAACTGTAGACCCAGCAAGGCCCTGGAAGATCATCTAGCTAGCCTGGCTCATCCAGTGCTAGTGGCCTTGTTCAGTACAGCATCCAGGCTCTATCTGCAAACCTCCAGAGTCAGGCAGCAAACACTTCTCAAGGCAATCAGGTCTGTTACTGCTCAAGTACAGGAAAAGTCTTCCTCATACTGAGCTAAAATCTTTTTCTCTGTCCTGTCCATTTATTTGTCCCAATTCTGTCTATGGTATACAAAGCTAGCTCAACCCCTTGACTGCTTTCAAATATTTGAGGAGAGCTATCATGTCTCCTCTTAATCTTTTCAGGCTAAATATCCTCAGTTCCTTCAATTATTATTCTTTTAGACATGGTTCCAGAACCTTCACTGCCCACGCCACCCTTCCTTTGGACCCACTCTAATTTGTCTATGTCCTTAAAATTTGTTAATCCAAATCGAAAATGCCACTACTGATGTGGTCTGAATAGTACAATGAGATCAGTACCTTCTGTGACTTATTTACCACTGAGAAGCAGCATGGCATGGAATAAGGCATGTCGAACCTTCAGAGTCAGAAGCAACCTTGGTCTGAATCTTATTTCTGATACTTATTAGCAATAGGACCACAGCGAGTTTCTTCATCTGTAAAATGTGAATAAAATACCAGGAGCACCTACTTCATTGGGTTTGCTGTGAGGTTCAAGTAAGATAATGCACGTAAAGTACTTTGCAAACCTTAAAATATTATACATCAGCTATCACTATCAACATTAATACATCCTAAGACTGTGTGTTTTTTTTTAATGCAGCAATATCATAGTGACAGCTTGTATTGAGTTTGTGGTCATCTTAAACCCCCAGGTCTTTTTTACGTGAGC